TAAAATGTCACTTTGCCAGACTCTTGACCTCAAATCTAAATGACACCTTCCATACTTTTTAGTACTTCTCTCACATAGTGGTTGACAGTTTGTAACTAACATTGATTTGTAGTTATTTTTGTGTCTTTCCCCACTGGACTGTAAACTCTCACTCAACACATCCTTGTTGAATACATGGTTAAATGAATGGCTGAGTTCCAGAGTACTCATCCAAGAAATTTCTAGGGGGCAAATAGTTCCTGTAATCAAACAAGGTTGGGAGCTATTGTATCCTATCTTTCCTTAAAAGTCATAATATTCATTAGTGTAGAAGACTCTGAGGTGGGCACCAATTAGAAAACAAAAAGATAAAATATCCGAAGCCTGAGTGAGCTAGTTTAATTTTCTCAGCCTCATGTTCCCCAAACCTCTTTGAATATGACATGTTTTTTTCACCTAACACCTATAACTGTCCTGCAGAATGTACTTTTAAGAGATGCTCCACTGGCAGCTTCCTGCTTGGGAAGGCTAAAAGTCTCAAGATCGTCGGGCTTGGTTTGGGGGCTGCTCGTCCTGTACTGAACACCCTCACAGTTGCATTGCTGCTGCCATGAACACGTGAACACATGTGTACAGGTGGACACATATGCACACGTGAACATACATGCACGTATTCACATATGCAACCACCAATATAATGAAGCAGAGAGCATAAGCAAATTTTGGAGCTGGTCTGGGCTTGTATTTTTCAAGGAAAAGAGGAAAACAACAGTAGAAACTTGATGTTTGTAGTTATGACTGTGAGCAACTCATACTGACTAGTTTTTTGCCAAGACCTGAATCTGCAAGTGTTTTGGGAAGATGGTGTGTGGAGGTAGGTCTCTTAGGTGGCACGTGAATCCCCTGCTACCCAGTCTTGCGTCTCTATGTAGTTCTCTTGTTCTCAGCAACTGCAGCGATTCTCTTGAATTTTCCAGTAGGCCCTTGTGGGGGAAAATTGGAACTAGTGACGATTTCAGGACATATCCCTCTTGCATATCTAGAATGTGCTGAATGAGGGGGACCAAAAAAACCTACAAAAAACCAGAATTATCTTTTGGAGGGCGGAACCCTTATAGTACAGGCTTTCCCCGTTAGCTAAATGTTCTAGGATGCCATTGGCATAAGTGTACCAATAGCGTTGATGTGAGAGGCTGCATTTGGCTTCAGCGAATTTTTTTTTCAGTGATTCTTTCAGTGTGTTTGCCCATTTCATAATGAGTCATTTATGCGCACACCGGCCCACACCGTGCCAGGTGTTCAGCAGTTTTGACCAAAAACAACATGACACCCGCACCCCACCCTCCCTATTCACCCTGAGTGATTTTTTGTTTCCCCAGATAAAAAAAAGTCCTCAAAGGGATACGTTTTGCTGATGTGGAAGAGGTGAAACAAAAATATCAGAAGCACTAAAAGGCATAAACATCGACGAGTTCAAAAACTGTTTTCAGCAGTGGAAAAAGCATCTCCGTAGGAGAATTGCATCCAATGCAGAGTACTTTGAAAGTGAATGAAGTTTAAACGTGGAAGAATAAATACACAATTTTTTACAAATAAATTCCATTTTGGGGGGGGTCCCCCCTCACATAGGTCGGATTCCTGAGGTAGGACCATATTCAACGTGGTGGATCTCAAATTATTTTTGATTAGTCCCCTCTTAGGCAGGGCAAAACGGCTTGACCTACTGACTCCATCTAGTCTTATTTTCCAGTGGAAAAATAAATTAGTGATAATTTGGGGGGAGTAGGTTATGTATACATTTGCTCTAGCACTGGAGTATGGATGATTCATATTTGAACCACATTGTATACATGTCTCAGATTCTAGTTATTGGAAAATTACAGCCCAGAAGACTGTTGATGCAAATTAAGCTTCAGTGTGCTCTGTAGGGTTAACCAAGCAACCCACAACAAAATAAACTGATAATGATAAAGCTAAGCTAACAGTAATTCATAATTAAAAAGTACCCATAGCAGCAATTGAAAATCGCAACCAACTCAAGGCAACACTGATGTGCTGATAAAGAAACCCTCTCCCAGACTTTGCAAATGTCAGCTCTGTGCTTGCATATGTGAAACCGGAACCTTTAATACAGTAGATGGGCATTGCATTGCTGGCGGCCACACTTCATAGCACAGTATTGTAGGGTCCTTAGTAACCTCTGTGATGCATTCCTAGTTGATTACAAATTAGTAGCCCTGGTGATATGTAAAAATGAAAACTTAAACCGCACATGATTCACTAGAATGTTCCAAAAGGAGACCAAAAAAAATTCAGCTCAAGGTGCATGTGGATACTTCTGGTAGCACGGCCCAGTCTCCCGTCCCGAACCCCAGAGGTCTTAGCCTCTCCTTTTGAAACCCCCGCCTAGGGAACTTTTCCTCCTTCAGGTAGGTCTGTTCTTTCCTAGCTCAGGCACACTGGAGGCACGTGTCTGGGTTTATGAAGTGCTCCGATTCCTATTTTAAAATGCAAAAGAATTTCTTTGAGTGTTCAGTGGAAAACTATCTCCAAGATATAACATTGAAAAAAACAATGTGTATGACCGTATGTACGACATGCTACTTACAGATATTTAAAAAAATTTTTTCCTTTTTAAAATGCCTGCTTCATTTGCCTTCATAACTACTTATATCTTTAAAAGACTGGATGTGTGCATTCATGCTTTATATGCCTGAGTATCTCTGGAGGTGTGCATACGGAATGAATCAGAACAGTTGCTTCTGGGGGGGCGATGGCTTCTGGAGAAGGAGAGAAGGGACACCTAGGTTTTCCACTAGCTACAAATTCGTGCTTTTAAAATTTTGTGCCGTTTTTGTATTTACTATTAAAAATAGCAATGAATTTAAATTTTAAAAAGAGGACAAAAAAGAAAAAAAAAAACCCAGTGAGGCTACAGAGTCTTGATTCTCATCTTGGTTTCCTTCCTCCCCGCCCTTCCTCCCTCCCTTCTTAAAAAGAGATAAAAGTTAAGTTTGGTTTATTTATTGATCTGATGCTTCTTCCTCCCTTCAGAACCACAGAGATCTATTTAGTAGGAGATTCCAGAATCTACAGGAAAACATCTAAATGACATGACAGGGTTATAAAACCAGGCCTAGACCCTGGGATTCTGGGCTGAAACAAAGACCTCAATCCCAAAACACAATTTTCTTATAAATTAGACCTGTTATCTCAAAACTTTCCTAGTGTTCTGATGTTTTCGTAGTGTATAAAATTAAAAAAGGAGCATTCTTAATAAGGACATGTATGTGTTTGCAGCATGAATGTAAGAAAAAAAGACAAAAAGAGACAGAATTCATACAGCAAATCATGTTTAAATGAATGCATTCCTCTTATTTCATCCTGCTTTAGTATTGCTCAAGGAGACAAAGCAATTATTTATCTTGATTTGCTACTAGGAATTTAAAAAAGAGCAATAGAAATACTATACTATTTAGTGTTGCCTAATGAAAAAATATTTTACTAATTATGTAAAAAAAAATTGTATTCTTTTACATAAATCGACACAAGACAGTACATTGCCTTTGTATCTTAGATGTCATTATGCTGAATAACAACTCTTTCTAAGAGCAAATTATCCAATGAAATATGTAGTATATCTAAATGTTATGGGGTTCTGAGTTACTGCAGGCAGACAGTATGGTAAGAAATGATGAGAAGGCTGAAAGGAATGTTTTGGACATAACAGGAGGCCTAACTTTGGGTGGTGTAGATATAGATCAAAACGACTTTCTCAAACCAGAGGTGGCCTTTGTGAAATGGGCCTAATAGTGACATGGTAGCCACAGACTTCTAGAGGAGGATACACAGGCTGGTGTCTATCTGACATATTTATAAAAACCTACAATAAAGACATTACATCAGCACAAGTGATTATTTATCCCAAGTCCTTGGTCCATTGAAGGGTACAAGTGCTAAGTGCCACAAGCCCCACCTCTCCGTCTCTGAGGGTATTCCCCTTTGTGTTAAGTGTGGAAATAGTTCCCTCATGCTTCTCATCCCCCTAGTCACTGCCCACCCCACCCTCAACCTCCTAGCCCCTTTCCTATTCCTACAGGACCTCTCTGTATTTCAAAGTCGGGTTCACACAGAGGAGATACAAGTAACCACAAGCCCTTGAGTAACCCACGCAAGGAAACTGCTCGGCTTTGGTCTAAATGACTTACATTTTTCCTCGCCTGAATTAGCCGGTAATTGCGTGTGGGCAGACTTAGCCAGAATAGTCTAAATGATCAATTAGAAGGCAAAAAGGAGTTCCTTTCTTTAAAGTTCAAGGGTCTCTGTTGAAGAGCCCTACTTCCCAAGCGATGCTCCTATGGGCCTGTGCCCAGCTCTCTGCGGTGCCTGAGAATATTGTACATTTGCCTAACGATAATGAATTTAGTACTTATTTTGCTGGAAAATATAGGGCATTTCCATTACATGCAATCAAGCAAAAAGGCTGCAAAATGTGCCACTCCATTAATTCTAAACAGAATCCTTCCCAAATGTCACCCTGAAACCAGAGTGTGGGGTTATTATAAATCTGAAGGAATTAAGAGTAATTTTCATTTGCACAAAGGATTTGAGGGACATGACTCCTGCCACACACACACTATTAATTGGGTTAAATTCAATTTGCCAATTTCAGTGTGAATCACTAAGCCCTGACCTAGCCTGCCCTAATGGTGAGGTCAGGGGTTCTCGTCTTTTTTGATTCGTGTGTAGATGTGCACATTTGCTTGTATGTGTACACCCACACCCACACACACACTTTTAGAACATGCAAGAATATGATATGATTGGCTAGTTATTAATAAATATGTTGTTCAAAGAGAAAGAGAATGCCAATGTCTGGCAAGTCACTTAACTTCCAAGCCTTAGTTTCCTCATCTGGGAAGAGGATTATAACACCTACTTCAATGGGAGTCATGAAGATTCATGAGCTTGAATGCATGAGGGCACTTAGCGTGGTGCCTGACACATAGTTTACACCATTAAATGGTAACTAGGGTCTTTATTTTCATCTTCTGGGGACCCCCTTTTGCTTAAGCTGGTTCCCAGATCACAGACAGAAATCTGAACCTGGCACTCGGATGGGGACAACCTTCCCAACCCTCACTGCTGGGTCAGTCCCCAGGGCTTGGGAGGGGTGGGTCAACTCATTGAGTTATTGATCGTTTCCTTACTAATTTCAGGTCCCACTACCTCGGGGCTGTAGCTGGGCTTGTGGGAGAGCACAGAGCGAGAGACAGGGATAAGCAGGTTAAGGCAGTTTGGAGGATGGTCCATTCTGCCAATAGCAAGATCTTCTGGGCAGCAGGGATCCAGGCCGGCCTTCACTCCACGTTTCGGTACTTGGTGAACAGGTTGTACAGCACTCGCAGTGTGGATTTCAGGTCACAGTTGACGATGTCTGCATAGAAAACAAACAAACACATCAATTGCTTTCATGGGATCACATGTTCCGAAATTGGCAACCATCATCCCTTTCCACCTGCCACCAGTCCCTGTGCGCCCAGGTTGTCCTGGATTGACTCATGGCAGCTGAGGGCAGGTGGGCATTGAAGAACGGGCAGAGAGGACAGTTAGGGGAGAGGTACTAGGGTGCCTCTTACTAAACAAAGCAGACCCCTGAGCATGCAGGCTTCATCCTGGACACAGCACCTCCAGGTGAGAGGGACTGACTGTCCCCCGAGTCTCACATGTCCTGGGAGACCCTCTCCTGCTGTCTCCAGCCTCCACCTCAGAGCGAACTCTGTGAGGTGAAAGGAGGGGAAGGCCTGGGGCTACAGTGGGGGAAAGAGGGGTGAGTTAGGACTTAAGGTGCCTCTCCCTTAATACCAGGGAGGACCCGATAGGGCACAGCAGTGTACCTGGCAGGGAAATAGGTGTCATGGGGGACAGACAGCTTCAGATTAAGAACAGAGCAAGGCAGGTGGGTTTGAGGCACTAAAGCTTAAGCTGGGAAGGTGGGGGTTGGAATGTATTTTCAGGAGAGTTCTACTGTGGGTTCCTCAGCTTGTACACAACCATTTTCTCCCTCCCCTCCTAAGATGATACCTAAACAATGACATAAAGTAACAGGAGCTTGCATTCAGAGTGTCTTACTGAACACAGCTATTCTAGAGAATTTCATCTAGACTAGTATGGCTGGAGAGGCTGGTGCATGGGCGGGGGTGGGCGGGTCTGGATCCCGAAACATCATGAATTCCAAATTATGGAGCTTGTATGATTGCATAGTCTAGAGAATCTGATCCACAAACATGTTTTGTTTAGCCCTCCCTCCCCGCCTCTGTGTATTTCCTGGTTACCACCTTCCCTGCTGTTCCTCTAATCCTAGGCTGGCTTCTTCACCTTCTCCTTCCCCCAATCTCCCCTCTCTGTTCTTGTCCCCAGCAGTCACTTGCTTAGAGAGCCATCCTTTGACCAAGTGGAATAGAGAAAACCAAGAAAAGGAATTCTGGTTATTATTTAGGAATGTACACTTGGGTAATAAAATTATAAGGAAAAGCAAAAAAAAGGCAAAACCCTGATGATGATGTCAGGATAGTGGTTGCCTTTAGGGGAGGGAGAGGATTATGGGCTCAGGGTGAGTTGGAGGGGGCCCTTGGGAGCTGGCGCTCACTTCCTTGACCTGGGTTGCAGCTGCATGATGGTTCGCTTAGTAATAGTTCCCTAACCTGTACATTTATGTTCATGCACTGTGCTGTATATGTGGTAATTTTCACGATAAAAATGATTTACAAAAACATAACTGCATAGGAGGTCAGATGAGGTGGGTGATTAAGAGAAGGTAATAAATATTCTGGTTCAAAGGTGTAAGAGATCACACTGAGCCACTGGGAGAGAAGGGACTGGGAGGGTGGCAGGACTCTGTCCATGCCCTGGCCAATAGCAACAGGGTTTCTTCAAGAGCAAGTGGGGGTGGTAAGCAGCAGAGGCTTCAGGCTTGGCCGTGGTTCCAGGGCTTAGCCTTGGGACTCCTGCAGCTGGGGATGCCACAGTCCAGTGTGCTCAGGTGCCAGGCTAAAGCCCCAGGGCTGGGAATCTCCTTAGGTTTCCCCCAGCCCTGTGCCCCCTCCTGCCTGCTCCCTCCCACCCCCAGGCCTGGTTACAGACTAACCTGCCCCACCCAGCAGGGCTTGGACTCTGCACCAAGCTCTCCTGTTGGTAGAGTAGGGGCTCTTAGGGACCACCAGAGAGGCCTGGGCTCACCACAGCCTCTCTTTCTCCCCCGGCCCCCACCCCAGTGGCTCACCACATAGCTGAGTCTCCACTGGGGGTCCTGGCCAATGGCTGAACCCTGCTACTCTGCCTTGCTTGTGCTGAGCCAGGAGTCCCACCCCGAATGACCTTCTGCCAGGTGGAAGCCTGCACCCTCTGTGCTGATTCCCTTCTCCTGACTCTTGGTGTTGAGTGTTTCTTAAATTCCACTCAAGTCAAACATTAGAAATTGCTAAAGAGGCAGAGAGGGGCAAGGTGAGCTCACCAAGGGAGTGGGCATGAAGGGGAAGGTAAAGTGGCAATGAGGCTACTGCAACAGGCTCCGGACGAGCTCCTCTTACCCTCTCCAATCCCAATGCAGCCAGACTATTAGGCCTCTGGGTGTGGCTGTACAGGATGTGCACTGCACAATTCCGGGGCACAGGGCATATCATTCACATTTTCAGGACATCATTACTATAAACCATGATATAAATGGTGCTCCTTTGAGCTGTGCAGCTCACAGCTTCTATAGCCATGCAACTATTGCATGTAAGAGAAGGTCCAAAATTTTAAGTCATGGCTGTGCAAGGAATAACCCGACCTGGCCTACTTTCCCAGTCTCATTTCATGCCACACTCCCCACCACTCCCCATTATACACCACAGTCACTTTAGCTTCCTTTCACTACCTCCCATGGGCTGTCCTGGCCTCTGCTCATGCTGTTGCAACATCCAGATTACGCTTTTCAAATAGCTGGCTCCAGGACCTCCTGCAGGCTTCAGTTCAAGGCGCTTGCTCCTTGGGGAAACCTTCCTGATACTGGCTTCGGTGAGGCTGCCCTATTTTATGTTCTCAAAGTCTCCATACTCTTCCTTCATAGCACTCCTTCCAGTTCTAAATCAGTGACCTGTGTGCTTATTTGATTAACTCCTGCCTCTGCCCTGGGCTGTAAGCTCCTTGAGCACAGAGAGCACAGACTCCCCAAGGATATTAGCAGATACATGAATGAATGGTTGCCCAGCGTCCTGGGACCCAAGAAAGAAAATTCCAGAAAGAGAGGGTGGACAATGGGGTCATCTGCTCCCAAGAAAGTGAGGAGGTTAAATGCTGAAAAGAGTTCCTAGGGGACACAGCCCCATCAGGTGACCTGGGAGACAGCAAGGCCAAGAGCAGGTGGAGAAGCCCAGCATGGTGGCTCATGCTTGTAATCCCAGCACTTCGGGAGGATGAGACAGGAGGATCGCTTGAGGCTAAGAGTTTGAGACCATTCTGGACAACATAGTAAGACCCCATCGCTATAAAAAGTAAAGGATAAAAAAAAAAGAGTGGGTGGAAGTAAAGTGGGTGGAAGAGGCAGATAAGAAGCGGGGGCAGTGGACATGGGTCACAAAGGAGAAGCCTGAGGGTCTGAGGAAGGACAGGTAGAAATGGGGCAGGAGGATTTGTTTTCTTTTAAAGACAGGTGAGTTCTGAGTTTGCTAGAGAAAGAACATATCCAATATGGGAGAAATGTTTTAAACTGATCGTGTTAATGGTCACAAATGCCATTTTCATGGTAAAGTTTGAAGCCTGTCTCCACTACAGCCATGTGACCCTGGTAGCCATTAACTTCTCTGACTCAGTTTTTTAGTAAAATTGGGCCAGACCTTTATGAAAAACATCCATGAGCTCCCCTATGGTAGTTTCCTCCTCTTGTCCCATCTTGGTTCCTCAGCAGAACTGTTATGTATACCTGTGTAATCTGTGCACTGCACAACTCCAGGGGGCACCATTCACACACATGGACTAAGCCCTGCCTCTTGGGAAATCTGCATGGCTTCTTCACCACTTTCACCACCACCAACACCAGGTGTAGGCTGGATGAGAAGGGGAGATCGCAGGCAGAGACACTCTGCTTATCATCTGTTCTTATCAAGAAAGCCAATGGCTGGCCCCCAGGTAGTCTTAGGCAGACTAGCAGGCCAGCAGGAGACTGCGTTATCTTGGCCAGGAGAGGGCCTGTGGATTCCTGGGAATGTACTGTGACTCTATGCTGTATAAACAGATCCTCCTTAAAGTCCTGGCCTAATAAATCATGTGATTAGTGAGTCAGTCCAGTTTTGATCGCCTGTACGTGCTGGCCCGGGGCCCCTCTCTGGAAACAGACAGCTAGGACTGTGGGGCTCCTGTCAGAGACACCAGACCAGATAGGACCTTGCTTCAGCAGAAACCATGATTTTATACAAAGGAACATGGCCCTGTGTGGCCACTTGTGACACCTCAGTGTCTCTCATCTGGAGGCAACTGCTGAGGCCTCTTCTCTGAAGCGCTCCCCACGCATACACCCCCCTCTCCTGAGTCCCTTGACCAAGGAGAGAGGACCCTGGTGCCACCAGCTGGTAGGGGTTAGAATAGGATGGGCGGCCACAGGTAGCTGCTAGGAGTGAGCTTGGCCCCAGGGTGTCCACCATGGTCTAAGCCCCAACCCATCCTCAGTGGTTCGGTCACGTCCTCAGTCTCTGCCCTGCTCCTTTGTCTGCTCTCTTAGTCCTCACTGGGGCAGGATCCATATAGAGAAGCTTATTTGTTGGTGACCTGCTATCCCACCTGGTAAGTTTGCTATTTTCTTTACATATTAAAAAGAGTTTAAAATATGACAAACATCCAGAAGAATACATGGAGCACACAAAGGGGGACCCAAAAAACAAGCCAACAAACTCAGGATTATCTTTTGAAGGGTGGGTCCCTTGTAGTACAGGCTAGGTAAATGTTCTAGAACCCATTGGCATAAGTGTACCAACTAGCATTGTTGTGAGAGGCTGCATTTGACTTCAGTGAATACTTTTTGGAGATTCTTTCAATGCATTTGCACATTTCATGATGGGTGATTTCCACAAACAACCTGCCCACACTGTGCTGAGGGTTCAGTAGTTTTTGACCAAAAACAGCATGACCCCCGTGCCCCACCCTCCCTATTCACCCATCGCCCTGAGTTACTTTGTTTTGTTTTTCCAGAGGAAAAAAGTCCTCAAAAGGAAACATTTTGCCAACATGGAAGAGGTGAAACAAAAAACAGGAGAAGCACTAAAAGGCATCAAAACTGCTGAGTTCAAAAACTGTTCTGAGCTGGGCTCCGTGGCTCAGCCTGTAATCCCGCGCCTTTGGGAGGCTGAGGTGAGTGGATTGCCTGAGCCCGCGGGTTCGAGACCCGCCTGGGCAGGCGAGACCTCATCTCTACAATAAATCAAAAAATTAGCCGGGTGTGGTATTTTCGCGCCTGTAGTTCCAGCTACGTGGAAGGCTGAGGCGGAAGGATCGCCGGAGCCCAGCAGGTCGAGGCTGTGGTGGCCGGGAGCGGCCACTGCACTCCAGTCTGGTGACAGAGTGAGACTCCAACTCAAAAACAAAAACAAACAAACAAACAAAAAACTGTTCTGAGCAGTGGAAAAAGCATCTTGATAGGTGTATTACATCAAACAAAGAGTACTTTGGGTGACTGAATTTTAAACAACTAAGAATACACAATTTTCTATAAATAAATTCTTTTTTGAGGGTCCCTTCTCATATATGTACAGTTTTAAATACTTGGAAAAGAACCCTGTCTGTGTCAAAATAGAACATCACCTACCCTGGAAACATCCCTTCCCCATCTACATTAATGGTCTCAACCCTTTCTTACCCCACAAAGATAACCACTATCCTGACTTCTATGGTGATTACTTCCTTGCTTTTCTTAATAGCTCTACCAACAAAATAAACACTTTTAAACAGGATTTTAATTGTGCCTCTTTTTATACTTTATATAATGGGAGCATACTACGTGCATTTCTTGTGATTTGCTTTTTTCTAACTCAAAATCATGTTTATAGAATTCATCTATGTTGTTTCATGAGCGGTTCACTTTTTAACAGTTTTATTGAGGTATAACTATAATTATCCAACTATAATTCTAGAATTTTGGAAGAGTAAATGCATCTCAATTTGTTGTCTACCTGTGGTAGATTTTTAGTTCTTTAAAAAGGTTGTTTTTGATTATTTGTCATTTTATACTTTTCTGTGGAGAATGGCCACTGACCTCTTCATGCTGAAGTAACTAAAATTCCCTCTCTTGACTTCTTAGTTCAGTCTTTTATTGTTGTTGTATAATAAAATAATAAATGGAAATAATCCATTTATTTAGCTTTTCTACTGGGGTGTACACTCCAACTTAGGCTGTCGTGGGTATTCTTGGACTTGTCTCCTGATAGGCAGACACGCATACTTATGAATGGAAGTGCTGGGTTAAGAAGTGTGCTAGTTTACTATTACTGTTATAAAAAAAATCAGTGCAAATTTGGTGGTTTAAAAAACACAGATTTATTATCTCACGGTTCTAGAAGTCAAAGTCCCAAATCAGTCTCACTGGGATAAAATCAAGGTGTGGGCATGGCTACCTTCCTTCCGGAGACTCTAGTGGAGAATCCTTTCACTTGCTTTTTGTGCTTGTCTGCATTCCTGGGCTCACAGCCCTCGTCCATCTTCAAAGCCAGCTGTGGTTGAGTGAGCCTTTCTCACACTACATCGCTCTGACACTTCTGCCTCCCTTTCCCGCTTATAAGGACCCTTGTGATGACATCAGATCACCTGGATAACCTAGGATAATCTCATCTCAAGACCCTAACTTTAATCCACACCTGAAAAATGTCTTTTGTCATGTAAGGTAACCTGTAAAGAGGTTCTGAGGATTAGGACATGACATGGGAGAGGTGGATGGGTTGCTATTTTGTCTACCACACAGGGTATTCCAAATCTTCAGCTATACTAGATAAGGACCACTGTTTTCCAAAATGGTCATATCAACATATCATACCTGCTGTTTCTGTTGCATCCCTGCTAACACTTGGTGTTAAACTGTTGTCACTATTGGCTTCTGCACATTATCTCATAATGGGGAAGAGGGCTGAACACTTTACCAGCCTCTGACCAACTCTTCCTCGAAGGCACTGGTCACCTGGAGCTAAGCAGCCATCACCTGCCTGGTTTTTCAGCATCGCTTGCCATCTGGTCCCAGGTAGGAGAGTCCTTAAATTTTAGATCTTTACCAGCCTGCTGGCTGTCCTACAGACTTCCATCCTGCCTGGTACTCAATGTCTTCTGAGTCCCCAGCTCCCTGTTATGCTAGAATCGTAGTCATATTTGATGAGTCTACTTGTAGTAATAACAAGGTAGGCACGTGCATTTGAAGACATATGGTACACTGCCCTAAATAAGAAGTCACCAGCTTCATGCTAATATTTTAGCTGCTCCATTAGTTATGAATGTGATACTAACCCATGGCTCACACTGGTTGAAGTACTAAAAGGTAATAAAACCTGGGCAGCAAAAGTCATCTGAGATACAAACCCAAAATTTCTGGGGAAGTTCAAGGCACAACAGAGCTTTGAATGTCAAATAGCACAGCAGAGAGTGCATTTTCCTGACCTTAAAAACATTTTGCTATGAAAAATACCTCTACCACAAGCAATTTGATTTTGAAACACCCGCAAAGAATTACCCACACTGGCACCTTTTGTAAAACCTGCAGCATTTACTACTGAATCTTACTTTCCAGGTAGAAGCATAAATACCAGAGGGAATGCTGGGATGCACATCTCACAAAGTATAATTTCATAAAATACCACTTCAATTCTCCTTTACGCACTGGAAATTTTCAAAATAGGCATGATGCCCAGTGTAACAACAAATAAAACAGATGTGTTTTTCCACTCACATTGGTCATGAAGTTTCACATTAAGCAGTTTAATAATTGCATAAAAATAACATCTACATGAAATATTCCCATAGATTGATTGATCATGGGAAAATTATCCGTCCTGAGTATAATAAATGCCTGAAAACTAAAATATCCTAAGATGTAATTCCAATGTGAATTCATATGAAGTTTCATATGAAGTAGTTCAAGAAAACAGAAGCATAAATGATGGCCAGGACTCTCCCATGGTGTCCCCCACCCAGAAGCAGGGTGCTCTTCATCTGATCACAGGACATGAAGTGCCCATTCCTAACAGCATCAGGATGGCTAGAGTGGTTTTTGCCTGAGAGAGAGCCCAGGGGATGCCAGCCTTGCTAGAAGTTCTGCCCTAGAGTTGATCGAGGGCTTAGGACGAGGTGGTTATAAATGAAAAATCAAGACTGACCTTTGTTGGCTACAGTTGATAGTTACTGAGGTCTGGGGGAACCATGTGACAGGGTCCCCATTCCCCACGTGGGACTTTTGCTTACACTGTCATTCTGTGTAGGATGTGTACAACCCTGTTCTAATTTCCACACACCAAAGCTCTACCTGAGCCTCAGGGTGTACCCCAAGTGTCACCATCTCCACCAAACTGTCATTCCTACAGACAGAAGTAGTGTCACTCCTGAGTCCTCACAACCTCTTAGTTGTACCTTTCATGGCAGTTAGCATCACTGCCAGTACCAGTCATTTTGGCGACTGGTACATCTTTTCTTGTCCCTGATTGGCTGCAATTGGCTTGATCTGTCATATTCTAGAGTCTCAGGCCCATTGACCAGTGAAGGTTTGGGTGGAGGAGCTTACAGCAGAGGCAGCAACAGGCATGAAAGCTCACCAGCTCAACTTGTCCACTTGCCCTAAAGCAACCAGAAAAATGCAAGCAAAAGGGCTGTGAACGGCATTCTCAATGTTCCGACGTGACATACACAGAAAATTATCTGCAACACAATGTTGACTCACCAGTTCTGGTGAAATAGAACACGTCAGTCAGTAAGGGGCGGAAAGCCAATGTCTGTACCAAGACTATCAAGAGAAGCGGACCTCCTTCCCTCACAAATGCACACATGCACTTCAAGCAAGGGCTGCTGGAGCATTTGCTCCTTCTGCATTTCCCTCTGGTCTTACATTTGCAGCCCAAACCCCACAAATTAAGCCTCATCCTCGGGCAGAGTGGGAGCAGGTGGAGCTGCCCGTCTGCCAGATTAGGAGCAGCAGTTCTGCTCAGCACCGAGCTGTCTGCACTGCACCTTCACTGGACTGGAAGGGATGTCAGTACCCTGTTCAGGGACAGAAGAACCTAGAAATCAGGCACAGGGCCATTCCTGCAGCAGCACCTCCATTTGGGCCCTGATTCCCGTGATCCCACGCGTGAGATGTCAGATTCTTTATCCTTCATGTGGTTTGCAGCTCACAAAGGGTCTCCAGGATTGAGCAGCTGCACCTAATCCCAGCTTCCCTGGCACAGAGGAAATGCTTCCCTCTGCTACAAAATCTGAGCACTTGTGTACAGGGAGAGAAGGTCTCACGCTGTTGTCACAAACCCAGGGAGAGCAAATTACCTTCTGGCCGTGGTTTTGGCTTTTCCAACCCTCCGTCTTGCATGAGCTCAAAAGCAAAGGAGACGTTCAACACCTGGCAAGAGAGATGCATGTGTCATTGCACACTCATTCCTAGAGCTTTGAGGACCCTGGAAGTGAAGGACCAGAGCACTGGAGTCAGTGGGGCAGTAGCTGAGCTGACTTCAAGGGGAAACATGGCCGCCCAAGTGGGTGGGCCAATGAGTGTGAACTTGCCGACCCTAGCCTACAGTTGGAGAACTGCTCCAGAGAGGCTCAAGAACCTCTTTCTATCCTCTCTTCCCATGTCCTGTCTTCTTCTTTCCGTGTTCCAGTGTTGACTGCCAGGACTTTATACTTGGAGATGTCCATGTACACCAACTCTGGCAGGATCTGATGGCAAGACACATTCCACAGGCAGAGAAGGGTTTTCTGCTTTAGACAAATGCCTTTATTTTTTTTGAGTTGGAGTCTCACTCCGTCGCCCAGACTGGAGTGCGGTGGCACACTCACGGCCACCCCAGTGTCAACCTGCTGGGCTTCGGCGACCCTTCCACCTCAACCTTCCAAGTAGCCAGAACTACATGTGCGCGTTACCACATGATTTATTGTAGAGATGAGGTCTCGCCAAGTTGCCAGGGCTAGTCTCAAACCCGTGGGCTCAGGCAACTCTCTTGTCTCGGCCTCTCAAAGTGCTGGGATTACAGGCTGAGCCACTGAGCTCGGCCCAAATGCCTTTGTTTAGTGAGCAGGATGTGGCAGCCTGTGGAGAGGCCATCAGAACCAGGCTGAGCATAGGGCTCAGGTCTGGCCAGCCTCATAGTCACCTTCCCTGTCACCACTGGTACAGATGAGGCTGAGCTGTGGCACTTGGCAGGAGCATGTGGTTGGGGGCCAGGGCCAGGCTTCAGGGGCAGGGAAAGGCTGGCCAGGTGCTCAGTGGTCTACAGGTAGCGCCTTCCCAGCTCTGCTCTCATCAGAATGGGTCCCACCTACAGCCACTGAAGACCCTGGGCAGAGGGGGAGCCGCTGCCTTTCTCCTGTATAGCCCCATCATAGGTGTGAGCTTATGAGTCGAGGCTATGGGCCAGGGACCTCCCTGGAAGTCCCTCCTCTTACCTTCTGCTCAAAGCTGTCCGGGGTCAGGAAGAAGCTGTGCAGAGGTACAAAGTAGCCCTCCAGCAGCCCCATAAGCAGCACCAGGTACACCCCATCTGCAAACTGAAGAGAGCCAGGTGAAGGCACTGGCCTCTGAGCCTCCCAGACAAGCCCCACCCAGGAACCAGGGCTGGGGAGCCAGGTGTAAGGGAGAGGAGAATCCTGGGTCTTCTGTTCCAGGGCAGGTGAGGCGATTGTGCAATGAGCACTCGGCAGGCTTGTGGAGGCCGTGGGGCCAGGGAAGAATGGACTTTGGGATATCTAAGGGATCCAGGTGTGGAGAACGGCCTGAGCAAAGACAGAGAGGTCAGATACAAATCCAACATTCTAGAACCTTTTCAGAGGAGGCTAGGCCACCAAATATTTGTGAGTGTCAACAGCAGTTGCTAGGATTTGCAAAAGGCCAATGTTCTTGGAATCATCTTAGGAAACTTAAAAGAACTAGCCTGAATTGCTTGGAGTGTGGGCTTGGCTAAGAGTCTGCTCACAGAGCTTTGCTGGGTGCCTGGCTGGCCGGCCTGTGGTTCGGCCTTCATTAAGGTCATAAGACCCTGAGTGGATGCTCGATCCAGAGGCAGTTCCTCCCTGCTTCCACCCATGGGCCTCCAACTCAGGTGAGTAGAGTCTGAACATAACTCATCCTGTGCCACCCTGGAGTGGACACAGGAGAGCAGACCCCAGTATCTGTCAAAATCAGGGCCATCCCGGTGGGAGCTAGGCAACTGAACCTCATCCTGGTTGTGGTTGGAATGGGTTGGGAGTAGAAGAATCTGATTTGTGAGCTTAGGGCAGACCATGGGTTGGGGTTAGGGTTGCTCACAACTCTGAGTGCCAACCAGTCTGTCCCCCACCCCCGATCGTTGGTTCTGCAGACTTGGTGAACTAGTGGGTAAACTCACACACACTACAGTGCTCAGCAGTGACCCCCTTTTATAGCACTCTCTGCCCTTTTAAAACTGAGATGAGAGTCCCACAGCCTGTCCTAGCCCACTGGAAGAAACATCCCCTTTCCAGGACATTCCTTATTTCTCAAGAGTACAGGAGCCTCATTCCACACAGTCCAGACACATTCAGGTAGAGCTCAGCTACAGACCAGGCAATTGTCTTTAAAAATAATGAGAGGTGCCCAGTCACACCTCCTCCCACAATGTAGAAGTTGGTCAAGAATTTGAAAGGGTGTTGGGAAGGAGGATTTATTACATCATCTCAAAGTATCTCCTGGACAAGATAGTTAAGTAGAAAAAGAGATTTGGTGGATACCACCCTAACCAAGTGATCTAAGTTATCACCAGTATTGGGTCTCAGGGATGAAAGTCCCTCTGACTATGATGCCCTGAGAAGAACACAGCATCACTTAGGGAGTGTCATTACTGATAACACATGACCTGAATCATGAGGGGAAAAAACTGAGGGACATTCTATAAACCACTGGCCTGCACTCTTCAAAAATGTCAGTGTCATGCTTCGGTCCAAGGAGTTCTATATTAAAAAGAGACTAAATGTGGTATGTCAGTATTTTGGGACAACTGGCAAAATCTGAATATAGAGTGTTTTTTCTAATCATACGACATTGTCATTTCAGCAGGCTAAAAGCAGTCAAATGTCAGCAATTTCCTACGATTCAATCTAAATAGGGTACTGCATTGTATCAATGTTAAAACTGCCTGCTTTTGATAATCATTGTGGTTATCTAAGAGTTATGTACTTGTTCTTAAGAGATATGTGCTCGAGTATTTAGGGGTGGAGAGAGGAGGAAGAGAGAGAGAAAATGTGGCCAAATGTTAACAATTGGTGTATCTAGGTGAGGAGTCTATGAGTATTCATTTTTCCAGATAAAATGTTGGCAAAAATCCAGAGAAGTTCCATCCAGTTTAGCCCCTCTGAGTCCTTGCCTTCATCATCCCCCTCCCCCCAGCCCAGAAAGCTCTGGGTCAGTGTAGAAAACTCCCAGTGAAGCAAGGTGTGGCACTTGGAACAGTGGTCGTTGGGCAAGGCTCTGTGCCTACCTGTGCTGGAGGCTGTCACCCACCTGGGTTTCCAGTTCTGTGACCTCCAGGTTCAGCTTATTCAGGTGCTTGTTCACAAAAGTGATGAGTGTCTGAAAGAGAAGGAAAGCAGGTACTGAGACGGAGCCCCTTGTCAGGGCTACACCCTGCAGCAGTCAGTGACACCCCTGGAGGATGAGCATCGGGGCAGAAGCACAGGACCCGGCCCAGTCAAGAACACTGGACCCAGGAGGTCTCCCAGCAGAGGCCCTCAAGTGCACAGGGAGGGCCACAGGCTCCAGACCCTGCAGTCCCGGACGGTTCGGGACTGTGAAAGGAACAAACAGGGAAGTTCTGAGAGGCAGTATAAGAGGTGGAGTGTCTGAGCCCAGAGCTGGGAAATTAGGAAGGGGGTCTGAGACAAAATGACCCCACCAGAACCCTCCTTCCAGTCCCTTCTTCAGTGCAGGTGCCTGTGTCAGGGAGATAGAGGGGATTCTGTGTGAGGAGCAGGGAAGGTTCGGGTCAGTGTGGGTGGGAAGACGGCTGCTCATTTTGAGGGAGAGGAAAGGGGCTGGATGAGGCATCCAGTGGGGAACATTCAGATAAACGGACAGCCTGGGGGAAGTCCTGTGTTTGCAGTGCTTAGGTGATGCCAGCAGTTTCAGGAGATAGCTCGCAGGCTGCAGGGAAGGTTTTTTCCCCAATGTTCTGCTGTATCTTACCTGCCTGCCTGCCTCCCTACCCCTCCTTCCCCCACCCCAGGTACCCCTTCCTCACCTTTTTCACCACGTTGAGTTTGTCTGGGGCATGGTCAAACAAGGTGTCAAAGGCATCACGCTCTGGAAAAGAGGAAAACATGACGTGAAGCATAAGAGCGGATTCCTGGTGAGGAGGTCCACCCTGCAACCCAGAGCTAAGAGCCTTGAAGAGCCGTGTGTTCAGCTCCCATTGGGAAAACTCTGGGGGTATAGATTGTGCTGGGAACTCTGGAATCTGGGATCAGGGCTGAAGCTTGGGGTTGATTCTTATCCTAGGGGGTCTTTGTATTTGCGTGTGTCCATCCATGCATGTGTACACGTGTCAACCTTTTATTGGGCCAGGGTGGAGGTGGGGTGGCTCAGTTAGGCAGTTTGACCTAGCATTAGTCATTTCGCTTCAATACGCTCCATGACATTCTGATGTAGCCTTGTTCTCAGGTGGTTTTGAAACTTCTTAGAGGTAGAATGCTATCCAAATAGCAAATCATTTCACCCCCTAATTTTCAAAAACAAGACACCCGTGACAAACGTCCTGGAAGAAGGCACAGATGAGAGGCTTGGAAACCAGGGAACTCCAGGATAGAAGGTGAGCTCTTCCTCTTGAGTGATCTAGGTCACTTCAGCTCTTTGTGCCTCGGTTTCTTCTTCTATAAAGTGCCATCTTAAAAATGAACCTCTCCAGGTTTGTCATGAGGGTGGAAGGTGAGAACGTATGTGTAGTGCTCTGTTAACTCTGATGTGCAGAGTTTTAGCCTGACCGAAATATTTATAAATATAACCCATAGTAAATATCAGGATCACAGAAAATAGCAAAGTTAGGCTCGCTGCCAGGACTTTCCTTCATGTTCTCAGAACGAAGAGGCAGCTCAGTGGAGGGGATGTGAGGCAGGCAAGAAGACTCCAAGGTGGCCCTGGGGCTGGGAGGGTTTGTGGTCCTGAGCTCTGCTTTCTCCTACTCTTGTACAGATGGGTAAATGTGAGATGACCCAAAAGGTGATGGGGATCGCTAAAAGACAAGGACTCTGTACCCAAAGTGCTGAGAAATGGGAGAGGTAAGAGCTGTGATGAGGGAAGAGGGGGAAGACAACTCCAGAAGGGCTGGGCAGAGTGGGGAGAAGGGACAGTCCCCATGTTCGGACACCTCTTTCTTTACTTCCACAACATGCTTAGAGCAAAGCTGCCCTGTAAGTGTCCAGGACCATCTAGAAGCCTGTGGAAGGTCAATGGCTCGGTTACTTTCAAGACAACTGCAGAGGTAGTTAGTTTTCTTCTTCCCGCCAGCAAGCTGCACCCCCCCACCAACTGGCTGCGTTAGACTGATGCAGACACACATCCAGGCTGCAAGCTGAGAGCCTGTCCTTCCCAGCTGCTGCAGAATTAAGCAGAGTGCCACCACAGAGCCCAGAGCCAGAGGACAATCTTAAAGCGACTCACCATGCCTCCCGGAAAAAGCCCTGGAAGAAAAGGAGAAAGAAAACAGAGTGACTCTTGTCTCCTTACCAGAGGCCAGTCCTCTGAGAGGACCCTCCATCGCTGCTGGAAGCCCACCCCCGCCCTGCCGCCAGCCTGTCCTTGGTTGAGCACTCAAAAAGCCACCTTCCGTTGGTATTTTCTTCTGTGCTGTCTCCAATTAGTGCGACGTGACCACATTACCGCCTATTTTTTCCTCGGCTACATGGATATACTGGAGTTAGTTCAAAGCCTGGCATAGAGATGCTTTAAAGACTATTTTTGGTCTCAAATAACATCGTATTATTGCTTGCAGTTTAGAGTCTCCTGAAGCAGGGAGCTTCTCCTAGGCCATGTTCCTCTCTGGTCTGACTTCCAGCACGGGTTGTGGGGGGGGGTGCCAGGACATTGAGGAATTCTCCTTTCCCAACAGGCCTGATCCCTCCCACCCCTCACAGAACCAAGGCCAAAGTATGCCCTGTAGATTGGTTAACACTTTGGCTAACAAGACTGGCTCCTGGTGTGACATGGAGGCTGCTTGTTGGGGTCCTCATAGGCTATAAATTGGGCATGTTGGGAAAGGCCACTCTACATCTCTGCCTCCTACCCTTGGCCTGAAATGCCCATACCCCTAGGCATGTGCACAGTGTGGGCCAGACAGGCAGTGCCCTGGACTCCTGTCAGCCATGACTGGGGAGAGCAACGGAGCTTCCTAGGGACTGGACCAGGCTTGGAGGTACGGATCAAATGTGATGGAGAAAAGCCAGGAATGGCAGCTCTAGAGGGCAGTGGAAGGAAGGCACAGCTGTGACCATACTGATTTCTCACTACCTCTCTGGGTGAGGAAAATGCTCCCCACTTCAGAGATGTTGAAACTGAGGCCAGAGAGGTGAAGGGACTTACCTGGTGAGTGAGTGGCAGAGCCTGGCATTGAACTCAAGTTGGACTGGCTTGGCAGTCCCTGCTTTTCCACTATGCTGCTGTCGTTCAAGGGGCACACAGAAAAAAGTTGGGGCAGAGGTAGGGAATGCTGAAAACTAACTCCCTGGCTTGGTGTGGGACCAGGGCTTAGGCCTGCTTGTGATCGCAAACCCACCCCACACAAATCTGTTCTTTCTGCTTAAGAACAAAACTCCTGTTCGAGCATGGCAAAACTTTCATAGGTTCTGATATCCCAATTTCCAAAAATAAATGGAAAAAAAAAAACCCAAATCAAAAGATAACTCCAAGGTACAGAGGGGCTTTCTGGGTCATGGCACGTGACCAAATAAATCATATTCAGAAAAGGGAAAAAAACTCGTCCTTTGAAGGTTAACAATGTAAATTCAACCCTGTGTTTATGGCATGACGATTTCATGCTGGTTGGCTTTTTTGGGGCACGCTTTTTCCTGGAGTGCCACAAAATTAGAATTTTTCAATCACTGCTAATTCCCTCTCCCCACTTCCCCACCCAAGTTTGTACCTTAAGCATTGAGAGGCATGTTTTGAATGCATGGAAAAGGCTAAACTATAATCATTGGCTGAAGTCTAATCCCTCCTGCAATCCCAATAAATGAAAACTAAATATCAGCAAATGGATGAATTTCGGAGAAACATCTGTGTTCCATTACAGAATCGCTGGCAACAATGGTGTTGACATACTCTGTGTTACCAGTTATTTCCTCTTGGATTTGCCGAGACTGGAGGATTCCTTCTCGTTTCTGAAATGGGGGTGGGGAGAGGGGTAGGGAGGAGAAGAGAAAAAATATGATTTAGAAAAATACAGAGACACTGATGAACATTCCTGACTTAGGGAAAGTTACGAGTGTTTAAGAAATGCATCCCAGATGAGATGATGCTGGAGGTGAAAAGAGGCTCTGATTTTCTGGGACTGGACTGTACCCTGAAGACGTGAGTGCAATTAGTGTTTAGTCCAAACAAGTAGGCTGTTTCTTGGATGGTGAATCTTTTCTTTCTTTATTGGAAGACATTCTGCTGGAAGCAAATGGTTTGCCTCCTGGAGTAATCCACAATAAACCAAATGGAAGTGAAGGCCAGGGTGTGTCTGCCCTCCAGCTGGGACCAAAGAGGGAAGCTGAGAAACACATTGAACTTGGGGGGGCTGGGTGGAGGAACTGGGGCCAACTTGGAGAATTCAGAGGGTTTTTTTTTAAACTGATAAATATGCGAGCTTTTAAATAAGCAGTACAGTCCTCAAGGTAACCAACTTATTCTCTGAGAAAAAGTTAAGTCTTAAAAACTCACCCAACCAACAACTGTCCTTCTATCTATCCGTCATCTGTCTACTCCTCTACCATGAATTTGTCCTCTTTCCTCTTTATTTCATTCATTAGTGCCTTCTATGTACAAGGCCTTGTGCTGGAGTTAAATAAATACTATGGAGCTTATGACATGGTTTCTGACCTTGAGGAACTTAAGAGTTAAATGGGAGAGATGAAGCAGGCCCCTGACAATGGTTCCCCCCAAAACAGTGCTGGGTTGTGCCTGCTATCTGGCTTAATAATTATAGAATACCCTTTTATCTCAAAAGTGATGAGGATAATAAGTTATGTGGTCACCCTATGTAGAAAGGAAGTGCTCAACACAGGTCAAGAGCAAGCACTTTTAGCTAGAATGGTCAGGGAAACTTTCCAAAGGCAGGGAGACGGAGTGCTGGAGCTGAAACTTCAAAGACAGAGAGGAGTTGCCTGGATACCAGGAAGAGGTCATTCCAGTGGGAATAGGCCAGCTGAAAGGCAGAGTCAGGATAGCATACGTGCTCAGGAAGCAGAGTAGAGGGAGGCTGGCTGCCATTAGCCAGTGGGCTGCTTTGGTGCCAGTTTGGAGAGTTCATGGGAGTTGATGACGGAGGACCAGGGTTCAAGGAGACCTTCTGATGGGCGTGAGGAGGGAGATTCAGTCTATCAGGTCCCACATAACCAGCGCCAGACACTAACAGGACAGTCTGGACATGACAAGCGGTTCACAGAGTGAATTCATCTTCCCCAAGGCTGAGATGAGCTTGAAGGAGCCTCTGGGCATTGGCAGCTCACCTGAGACCTGCCTTCTTGAGCCTCCTGCCCAGGCTCCCGGAAATGTTCCTTCACATTCCCAATAGCCACAGAAACTAGCCTCCTTGAAACATACTTTCGCAGAAGGAAAGGTAGAGCGGGATAAAAGTCTATCTGAATTAGATAAAGAAGAATAGACTTATCAAAGCCAAAAATAAGGCGAAGGGGAAAAAAAGCTATCATTTAAGGGGATCAGGTGAAGATAAAGCAGGACTTTTTCGAATTCAGTTTCGACATATGTAACGTTTTCACACGGGGCTAATGGAGTCTGTGTCCCTGTGTGGCGAGGCCATTCACAGACATAAAACCTCATCCCTAACTCCATGCAGAATTAAATGCTTTTATAAAGAATGGAAAAGAAATCTGGGTTAAATATCCCCTGGCACAGCATCCTGATTCACCTCCACCCATTACTTGCTCCCTAAAGAGCTCTCTGTGGTGCAGTCGATGACTCACCACCAGGTCCGAGTCTTGCTTCTGTGCCTGTTCAACTTGATAAAGCAAAACACCCCATAAAAGCTGACATGCGTTGATTCCACTTTATGTAACGTGTCCTCTTTTCTCCCTCATGCTAACAAAACTGCCTACAGGAGAAATTAAACCAACAACAGCCTCCTGATGGCCTATAATTGAGCTCAAAATAAGGCATGAGACGCGGGCTTGCAGTGACCACTGTTTCAAAATAGAAGCCCCTCTCTCCTGCTCAAATCTTCAATCGCAGTGATTGGTTTTTTGTCCATAGTACTTCCAACGGGATATGTTATTATTTTTATTAGGGAACTGTTTATTCAAACTGATAAGAAAAATCCTAAGATGCTCAATACATTAATGCATAAAACATTGGAGTAGACACCCACAAAAGATACAAATGGGCAATTTAAATAAAAGTAAATATCTCCACTAGCAATAAAAGAGCTGCCAGCAAAGAGACTGACAGTAGGTTTACTTATGAAAGCAATTTTTAAAAATGTCAATGCTAGTAATATGTGGTCACTAAAGTACTGATTTATGAACTGCTCCAGAAACTATAATTTTTTAAAAATAGACTTCATTTTCTAGATTAGTTTTAGGTTCACAGAAAAACTGAAAGTACAGAGATTTCCTATATATTCCCTCCCTCTCAAGCACAGCTTCCCAAACTATCAACATCCTGCACCAGAATGGTACGAGTTTAACGGCTGGTGAACCTGTAACTGATAGTAACACATTGCTCTCACCCCAAGTCCATAGTTGACATTAAGGCTCACTCTTGGTGATGTACATCCTATGGGTTTTGAAAAATGTGTAATTACATGTGTCTAAAAATCCTCTGTGCTCCACCTATTCATCCTCCCTCCCCTGCCCAGTTGCAGTTTCTAAAAAGTGAACGGTGAAAATAACACAATAGAGAGGGGCCAAATTCACTAGGAAGATGCTTGTGCCAGGTGCTCTGGGTGGCCACATATCCACAGCATTTATAAATGCTTCACCTGGTTGACCCAGGTGAAGAGCTCAGTAAATAGGACAATTAGGACCTTTCTGCCAGTGGCACTTAGTGTTGGAATCACACATATTCATATTGTCTGTGGGCTTCTGATAGCCCACTCTACAGCGTATTTGGAATCTTATCTCCTGGCAGGCAAGGCCAAGGTGTCATATTCCAATTATACTCTTTTGATGCTTAGCAGAGTTAAAAACCCAGAAGGTGTGAAAGACATAATTTTCCATGAGGGCACGATTCATTAGGAGCACCATGTCCTACTCTGTTCCTGTTAACATCTGATCCCTGAAAGCTCGGCTCCAAGTACTTTTGTCTTGGAAACAAGCCTGGCTTGATCAAGCAAAGTTACCAGCCCTTAAGTTTCTTCCTCACCAAGGACAGCAGAGCTGCCATATCAGTCTATTCCAGAACCCTGGATCACCCTTGGTAGCCAGGGAGCTGCCTGTATGGAAAGTCCTCCCTTCCTGCATGTTTATTTGGAAAAGAACAGAAACAAGCAAACAAAATGATGACCTTTTGCTAAATGGGTATAAAGTTGGAAAATAAAATTGAATTTGAGTATTTAATGGGGTTAGGAGAAGAGTGAGATAGTCACGGGGAGAGAGCACACCCTCATTGTGGAAATTACACAGCCATATGTGAGTGGAAATTCCATCCAACAATCTGGAAAAGATGACTTGAGAGCCCAGCTGTGCTTCTGTGGACTGGTGAAAAGTGGCAGTGCCTTCAATATGGACAAGAACAGTTGGGGTCTCTCAAACTCAAACACACACACACACACACACACTGCCTCACATGCACAGATATGTCTTCTCCCATACATGTGTATCACTTAAGCAAAAAATTATGATTCTCCATGACTGGTAGGGTACCTACACACTCTTGTACACAAATGCATACACACACACACACCCCTACCTTTCCTCCTGACCCACTACACAAGCCCTCAATTACACGCAATGCAGACAACCTCCTAAGACAAACATATAAGCCACAGACATATACACAGGGCCATCCATGCACAAGCACATGCTTTTCCATCCTTTACACACTAGGAAGAACTAACATGCATCAGAAGGCTCACTCATGCCTCCCGACATACAGTACACCTGGGCTCATCAGCACTCATTCAGCCACATCCTCCTAACCATCTCCTGTGCCTTAGCTCTCACAGGAACTTGGCCTCCACAACTCTTTAAAGGCACAGATGTTTGTAGTGGTATCTGTCTTACCTGGACCACAACAACTTGGATGGAAACGTGGTCTGGGAGTCGGATTGGTGCCCGGAAATACTGAGACAGAGCAACCAGTAGATGCAAGATAGCCACCAGGCTCTTGGCATGAACGGCTGAAATGAAAGAGGACTTAAAAAGTTAGAGCATCTTCTTCCAGGTTCTAAGTGATATAAGCAGATATTCAAAATGCAGCAGTACCCCACCTTATGTCCCTCTATTCACCCATCAGGGTCAGGGCTCACCTAGGGTCAGTACAAGCCTCACCCTGGGTCCCCTCAATTTTTTGCTAGGTCCCATGGAGGTCCTTCTTGGGTCATATTATTGCTGGATTTCTTTTTTTTTTTATTTATTTTAAAGATGTGGGGTACGATTCAGGATTAGGTATACAGTGGTCATTGTACAGGTAAAGTTTGTGCCTCCCTTTGGTCCCCATTTTGCCTGGTTTGAGATCAGGTACCCTTATTGATGTTATGTGCCCCCCATCCTTCCCCTGGCAGTGTCCCGCTACTGCCAATCGCTTTCTATAGTATTATGGTAAATGTTCAGGGTCTGCTTATGAGTGAGAATATGTGGTACTCACTTCGTTTCTGTGATAGATCACTGAGTATTATAGACTCTAAATCCATCCAAGTTGCTGCGAAGTCCGTATGTTTGTCCTTCTTTATGGCTGTGTAATGTTCTATCATGTATATGTACATTTTAAAAATCCAGTCTGGTTTCAATGGGCAGCATGGATGGTTCCATGTTTTTGCTATTGTAAACAGTGCTGCAATAAACATGGGTGTGCAGGTATCTTTTTGGTAGAATGATTTGAGTTCCTCCGGGTATATTCCCAGTGGCAGATTGCTGGGTCATTTGGAAGGTCAATTTCTAGTTTTTTTTAGAAATCGCCACACTGTTTTCCATAGAGGTTGAATAGTTTGCATTCCCACCAACAGTGTAGAAGCGTTCCCTTTTCTCTGCATCCTTGCCAGCGTCTGTTGTTTTTTGTTTTATTAATGATGGCCATTCTTACTGGGGTTAGGTTATTGCTGGATTTCTCATATGGCACCTCTCTAATCTGATCCCCGGTTCCCATGAGGACCCTGAAAACTCCTGAGTTCGGAGCTCAGATCAGCTTTCCTCCAGCTCCACTTCCCTGTCCACACCATTCTCATAACCATGAACGTGTCTGCTCTGCTCCCCACTTCCTTCCTACTTGACCGTGAGCTCTCTGGATGATCACCACTATCCTATTCCCAAGAGTGCACACAAAGCAGACCCTCTGGACACAGAGCCAGGAACACTGACCCCTTCCTTGGTTCAAGGCTTTAAGATTCCTGGAGGAAGGCATGAGAGAGACATCCAAGAGGGTGTGTTGCTCTCTAGAGTGCTGCATATAGTCAGTGTAGGCAATGCCCCTTAAGGAGCAGCTGGGAGGGGAAGTTGCTGAGCCAGTTTCCTTCATAGCTGCTGAGCCATGTACTGAATGTTAAAGCCATTTACACTAGAAAAGGCTGGGCCCTATTAGGCCGTAGTTTTCTTGGTAGATGAGGCAAAAAATACTAACTCAATGAGGTGCAAACAGGGTCAGGCAGAAGAAGCTTGAATTCTGACTTTAAAATCTACCATGTAGTACTGGCTATGTGACCTTGGGTAGGGAGGCCAATCAAGGCCCCTGAGCCTTAACTTGTTCATCTTGAGCTAGAGAGAACAGTACCTATGTGGACATACAAGTTGTAAGGATTTCCAAAGGAGACATGGGCAAAGCTCCAGGAACACAGCAGCAGCCCAGAAATGGCTGATTTTTTAAAAATTAAAACTTATATGAAAATACCTGGCACCTAGGTAACTAAAACATGTCAGTTTTCTTCCATTTTTCTTATACAAGAGAAGACTCGCCAGATCCTTTACCTGCCTTTATAGTCCTACCAACTTCACGACTCTTCATTACAGGGGGCACTTAAGGGAAAAACCCCAAATGCCCATTTTTATGTACTTAGCATGCACCAGGCCTGTTATTAGGGTGTCACTCTGTTTTCCCTATGATTCGGGAGTCCGCTTCAGCAGAAACTTTGAGAAACCAATGAGAAAAGGAAATGATTCAGACATTCCTTTGGAACTCATTAGAGTTCCTTGTTATCACTGCTACTTCAAATAAGGTTTCCTATGGACTCAGAACAGCAGGTCGCCACCACCACAAATAGTAGCTGAACCGCTCTGAACTCTCTGGTTTCAGAAGAAGGTTTTGGTTTTGGGTTTTTGAGTGTTGTCAACTAGGTTTTACTCAGAGTTAAAGCCTCTAAAAATGATCCGGATGTAGGAATGGACCCACTGATAGGGTCTGGTCACTGACAGGGGCAAATCTGGGTTTGCTCTTCTGATCAGAACTGCCACCCTGCCACCAGGCCCATCACTGAAGGTTGTAAGAACATCTGCCACCTCTCCCTCCTTTAATGGCAAAACATATGCTTGAGAAGTTATGGACAACCAAGCTGTTCTTATACTCTGGTGACACTGGGTACCATTCTCTGCTGTCTTGGTGAGCAACATAGGGCTGTATCATAAGCATCATATAGATGTCAGACTTTTTCATCTAATGTTCTGTCCTCTAGGAATTTTTTCAAAATAAGTAATCTACAGTGTTGCACACACATACATTATGTGTAAAAAAATGTGACTTATTGTGCAATATACTATCATTTTTAAAACCCCTGAAGAAACACTTATGTTCAGTAACAAGAGGATGGCTTACTTCAGTGGTTTGCCCAGGTTCAAGTGACAATGAGGATTCCGGAGTCTCCTAAATGTAGCTCCTAAATGGCTTCTTCTCCTCCCCCCAGTGATGCTTGAGTTTCTCCTTGCAAAGCCCTAATTGGACCAAGCATAGTTTAATATTCACTGCTTTAAGGCTGGACATGGTGCCTCACATTTGTAACTCCAGTCCTTTGGGAGGCTGATGCAGGAGAATCACCTGAGGCCAGGGGTTCGAGACCAGCCTGGCAACATAGGAAGACCCTATCTCTACAAAATAAAAAAAATAAAAAAATTAGCTGGGTGTAGTAGCACATGCCTGTAGTCCCAGCTATTTGAGAAGCTGGGGTGAGAGGATTGTTTGAGCCCAGAAGGTTTAGGCTACAGTGAGCTATGATTGCACCATTGCACTCTAGCCTGGGTGATAGAGCAAGACCCAATGTCTCCAAAAAAATTTTTTTAAATTAACTGGGGGTGGTGGCATATGCCTATAGTATTAGCTACTCAAGAGGCTAAGGCAGGAGGATCACTTGAGCCCAGGAAGTTGAAGTTACAGTGAGTTATGATCACACTAATGTGTTCCAGTCTGAGTGACAGAGTGAGACTCAGTCTCTTAAAAAAAAAAAAAATCACTGCTTTAAAAAAGTTATGGGCTGGGCTTGGTGGCTCAGCCTGTAATCCTAGCGCTTTGGGAGGCCGAGGTGAGTGAATTGCCTGAGCCCGCGGGTTCAAGACCCGCCCGGGCAACTTGGTGAGACCCCATCTCTACAATAAATTTTTAAAAATCAGCTAGGCGTGGTAGCGCGTGCCTGTAATTCCGGCTACTTGGAAGGCTGGGGCGGAAGGATCGCTGGAGCCCAGCAGGTTGAGGCTGCGGTGACTGGGAGCGGCCACTGCACTCCAGTCTGGGCGACAGAGTGAGACTCCAACTCAAAAAAAAAAAAAGTTATGGTATATTCACATAATGAACAATTTGCATGCATTCAAAATCATTAAGATGATGTAGCTATAAATATTAATACTGCAATGTTAAAGGGAAACTGAGAACTAAGGTAAAATATACATTTATGGATATATGCATAAATATATATACATACATGTATACAGTATATATATGCACACACATAGGCGTGTGCTTGTGGCCAACATTTGGAAACAAATATAGTTAAAAAATGAAAATAGTTATGCTAGACTGGAAAGATAGTTTCAATTCTTTTCCTACTTCAAAATAGAGACATGCCATCTTTCCCCTCGGTAGAATTCTCCCTGTTATGTGCTGTACCCTCATTACTACCGCCTCTCACCACATCTCCTGGGAGTTTTCTCTCTGATACCCGACAGAATCTCAGGCTATTACACACCCCACTCTCAAGTCAGGCTGGAAACATGTGGAATAAGAGTAGGCCCCAAGGCGTCATTGTGTCACCTGGGAACCGCAGCCGCAGTACCAAGAGTGTCACTCTAGGGCTGGAAAACAGTTTTTAAAAAGGAGCTGCCAACTTAGAAATAGTCCTCCAAACATGTTCCAGGTGAAATAGAAAGTGGTGTGATTTTTCTGGAGGCAGTCTGACATTATGTATCTTGACTTTAAAGATGTACATGCCCTTTGGCCCTAAAATACCATTCCTAGGTATTTATCCTAAAGAAGTAATCATGGCAATGAGCAGGGAGAACGGGCTGTATGGATATCAGTGGGAAAATGGAAAACAATATGCAAATCCATTATCAGTTAAATACATTATGATAGATCCGTATAATATCATGCTACATAATATTAAAAGTGACCTACAGAAGACTAGCGAATGATTTGTAAAGATATGGATCTTCCAAACAATATAAATAGGTTGATCTCATTTTTGCAAAAATGTCTGGCACACATATACATATATGATGCGTGGTGACTATTTACTTATTCGTCACACATTCACACACACTTGTAGAACACACCGCATGTTCACAGTGCTTGTCTCTAGGTGGGCAGCTTTCGTTTAGCATACAGGCACTGTGGCTGGACTTTCTAGACCTGACTCTTGGCTCCACCATTTGTCACCTGTGTGACTTGGGACAGTCACACTTCTTTAGCAAATTTTATTGTGCTCAGTATATGTCAATCACACTTCCTGGTTCTGTGGAGACAGCAGTGAAAAGGTAGAAATCCCTGCTCTCATGAAGCTTACATTCATAGTTTCTTATCTCTCTATGCCTCGATTTTCCCATCTGTAAAATGGTAATAACAGAATTCTTATCTCAGGTGATTGAGTGAGAATTACAAGGATTAAGATATATAAAGTGTTTTGAAGATTACAAGGCATACAGGCATACAATAAATACCATAAATATGTTAAATGTTAATATTTAAATTTATTTTCATCTATCTGCACTGTTTAAATTTTCAATAATGAAAATTACTGTTGTGAATTAGAAAAGAAAATGAAGAAATCCCTAAAGCCCCAGATGGAGCATCTTGGTAACTTAGCAGCTTGTTACTGCCATCCTTACCCCAGTGCAAAGACAATGTCTTCAGATTTACATTCGAGGATAACCAAAAGGGGAGATAGAACTTTTCCCCAGGAGCTGTACCTGCCACATTCCTTATGGAACAAACCACAGAACCTTGTAAACAAGCCCAACTCTTCTTGAAGCCACAAGGCACTGCAGGGAGCTAGCCACTGAGATAATTATTCCCTCTGACCTAATAATCTATCTCCATTCTGAGAATCTATCTACAGGGAATAATTCAGGAGATGCAGAAAGGCACGAGGTAAGACATTCAGCTTGGTGCTGATATTAGCAGTAGGTTTGGAAACATCCTGTAAGGATCAGCATCAACCTGGGGTTTAAGTTAACTATGGGGTACCTACCCCATGAAATTGAAGCAGATATAAAAAACAATAACTACAAAGACCATGAGGGAATATAGAAAATACATGTGATATAATATTAGGAGAAAATAACAAAACACAATAGTGTATATGACTTGACCAAGTCAAAAGATACACTGATGTGACCAGGAACAAATGAAAAAAATGGAATGAAATGAACAATTGAAAACAGATCAAAGTGGTTATATGAGTGATTATTTTTCTTGTACACATTTCCCTACAAGAAATTAGAGTAAGCATGAACCAAACAAACCATTCAAAGCCATTGAAGACAGTGTTTTGATGCGGTTTAAAAAAATTGTTCTTCTACCTCAGCCTTTCCCAAATCCTGACATGATTAGTTAGGAGATGTCTGTTTTGGAGGGATATAGGAAGATGGTTCATATTCAAAAGAATGGGAAATGGGATCAAACAAAACTAAGCAGGGTCTTCATTAGAGGGCTTCTCTAATGCTTATGGCTCTGTGGATTTCAAATTTGCATACACATTTCTCAGACTAGTGATCAAGTCCCATCGTCATCTCCCCCACGGAACACTGCTTACATTCCTGGAACACAGGGAAATACAGCCCCTCTCAAGGACAGTATCTAGGGCCCAGAGCTGTGGTCTCCCTGCCGCCTACCCTCAGGTGTCTTCCTCTGTGGCACAGAATGCCCTGTTCCCAGCCACACACTGCTGTGGGAAGCAGCAGCCAATCACACTGTGTAAGTAAAGGTGTAATTATGCTGAAGGAGGTACTCAGTCTCAGCCCAATGTCAGATGTTAGGGACCTGTGGAAGAAATCGCCACTGGCAGCTACCGGGCCTTTAACTTGAGAGGTGAGATTCCTTTTTCTTTCTCAGGTTTGAAAGGTGTCTTTTTGTGCAGAGGTGTCCATTATAAGTTTGATGCAGTAAAGTATAGTACTTAATCCTTCATCCTTACATCAAAAGCAAACAGTCTAATCATTTTATTAATCTACATTTGTATTTTTATCTACGACAAAGAACAAAACAACTTTGAAATCCAGTTGTTGCTACTGGTTTCCCCTAATCCAGGGATTAAATGTTGATTCTGATAGGGACTCATTAAGTCCATATTAGATACCAGGCTCTTGAGGCAGCGATGAACTTGTGGTTTCTACTTTCTGAATCCTTGAGCTATACGAACTGAAAAGTCAAATTTTAAAATCCTGTTCCTGTGCCTACGATCTCCAACATATCGCTCTGCTCCTTCTAGAAAATGAAGGGGAAGTGGGAGGGTGAGGGCTTTGGAGCAGAGCTGAGTCCTTGTTCCCTGCTTCTTAGCTGCAAGGATATAGGGACCTCAGTTTCCTAAAGCCTCTGCAAGCTGGGGACAACAACTTTCTCAGAGGTTGTGCTGGGACTTGAAAGAGTTTGGTTCCTCTCTGATTACCCAGGAGGTTTCTCTGGAAAGGGACTAGATTTTGACATTTTGTTATTTTTCAACAAGGGAATGCATGACAAGTTCTGTTTCTTAGGAAGGTGGCATCTTGCTCAAAGATAAATGAGTTTGACCCCCCTCCCCGGGCCTGCCAGCTTATGGATGGCTTCTTGGAGAAGCCACAAAGTAGGGACCATAGGTTTCTTTAGGGAGCCAGTTTCCTCTGTACAACTCACAGTCCACATTCCATTTGATGCTCCTGGGAGGGAGTTTCAGGGTTTCGTTGATCTTCTCCAGGACAGTTTGCAATTTTTGCTTTTGAGCAATCTCTGACTGGGTGACCTCAGCGACATTTAGCTTCTCACTCTCAAGTTTCTCTAGGGTGACAAGAGAAAAGAGAACAGCTGTTATCCCAGGCCACAGACAGCCCTAACACATATACTTATTCACTCATTTATTCGCTTATGCACACATGCATGCACACACTCACTCAACATATATGTACTGAACACCTATGAGAAGAGGGACACTGTTGTCCTCTCCTCGCCTGATGGTGGCCCTGGCAGCATCAGTCCCGTGAAAGCTTTGTGATTGTGTCTTGAATTCCCCTATTATGAGATCCCGGGGGCATCTAACCTAGCCTGCCATATTTGAGCTCTTTTCCATCATTTTGGGTTTTTCTCCTTCTTTCCAATTCTGCCTTCTCCAAGGACATTGCTGTGCCCTGACTGGAAAGTCTTCTCTGGTCAGCCCAGTCCTTATTCTAGGTAAACACAGTATGTATAGTATATGTCACGCCCAATCATATTTATCAGTTTTAAACACCTTCTTTCCTTTTAAACTCACCTAGAAGGTAACTTATTTAATGCATCATATTTCTTCAATTCTAAGCACATATTGTTCACATTTTAACACTCTTAAAATCAGGTTGTGTGGGAGGGAGATATAAGAGTTATCACGTCTCCACGTGCGTGAACTTGGTCATAGCTCTTCATAGTATGATTACTTCCATGTCTCAATAAGCCTACAAGAGCACCTTCAAAAAGTATAAAATAAAAATTGTAGGCAATAAGAAAGTACTGGGTAATAGCTTAGTTGAAGTGATTTTTCTCTTTCTGAGTGGCACTTATATAATGATGTTCTATAAAGCAGTCAATCCCTGAACTTTAGAGATAAATTTATCTTGAATGCAATGGCATAACCACTTTATACTTAAAAAAAAAAAAAAAGCAAAACACAGTCTAATCATTTCATTAATTTAAATTCATATTTTAATCTATCAAAAGTCCAAAGAACACAACATCTATGGACTTCGTAATGAGAAATATGTTGCCTACCACTAGAATTCACCCAATCCTCTCTCCACAACTTATTTGGGCTTGATAAAACTGACAATCTGAATCATGTTTAAGATTGGCTTTTATACTCATTTTTAAGGGCTGCCATAGAAACAAATTAAATTTTCCTATATAGCAGTGGTTTTTCTAGTCTAGTGCTTACATTAATTAATCACTCTGTTACCCAGGCTGGAGTGCAGTGGCATGATCATGGCTCACCGCAGCCTTGACCTCCTGGGTTCAGGTGATCTTTCCACCTCAGCCTCGTGAGTAGCTGTGGGACTACAGGTGCATGCCACCACACCTGGCTAAATTTTTGATTTTTTTTTTTTTTTTGTAGAGACAAGGTCTTGCTATGTTGCCTAGGCTGGTTTTGGACTCCTTGGCTCAAGCAATCCTCCTACCTCGGTCTCCTAAATTGCAGGGATTACAGGCATGATCTACCTTGCCTGGCCTTTATTTTATTTTTAAGTAATTATAGCACATCTGAGCCAAATGCCCCGTGGGTAATTCTTTGAAGATGAGGTTGCCCACTGGAAAATTTCTGTAGGTTCTGTGGATTTATGAATTTTTTTAAAGCACCTTAGTAGGATGATCTCAAGCTATTCTTATCTGTGATGACCTGAAATGCTATCTTTCTTTAGTTGCTTCAAGCTATCATTCTTTATCTCTAAAGTTCAGGGATTTAAAGTATTTATCTAAATATATGTTAAGACACTTTTTTTTTTTTAAAGACACATCTGGAATGTTAAATCTTGAACAAACTCTATGTGCCTTTTCCATTTTTAGGCTGAATTTTTATCTTGAATCCTTTCCTACTGAAGAAATGACAAGTTGTCTTCCTTTTCCTTTTATTTTTTTCCCCTTTATTTTTGGATGATGTAATTGTCTCTATAAGTGAATTGTTTTCATCTTACATTGCAACTTGCAAGCATTGGGTAGAGGCTGCCCAGAATGCTAGGTTAAGAAATGTCTGCTTTTATCTTGGCTCAGAGGAAAAGACTGGAGGGCTAGATTAAAGAGGTGTCTTGGGAGTGAGCAGGGTAGCTGGGGAGGTCAGGAGTGGGGAGGAGCCACTGATTTGTTAGGCCAGCTGTATTATATCACTGCAAATTTATAATCTTCAGGCATTGAACTTAAAGTGAACAGCTTAGGTCTCTGAATCTGTTTTCTAGGTCAGTAACTTTTTCTTGTACTGTTTTCCATTTTGCTCTTTTTATTTTGAGTTGGTCTTATTCTGTCATCTGGGCTGGAATGCAATGGCCCAAAAGTGGCCTATTACTCCTAGGTTTGGGTGATCTGCCTCAGCCTCTTGAGTAGCTGGGACTATAGGCTAATTATTATTATTATTACTTTTAGAGACAAGGTCTTGCTAATATTGTCTAGATGGGTCTCAAACTCCTGGACTCAAGCAATCCTCCTGGATCCACCTCCCAAAGTGCTGGGATTATAGGCATGAGCCACTGTGCCCAGCCTTGTTCTTGCTTTTCAAAAAACTGGTGTGACAAAATAAGAAATACACATTTGATCTCCCTAGTCCCTTTCCTGGTACAGAGCTTTTAAAACTTTTGTAGTTTCCTGAATAATAGGCTAGTAGGGGCATCTTGTGTTATAATATTTGGTTTTTGTCCCTAATTCCTGAAAGAGCTCTGGAGTCATAAACGTAAAAGGAGCATCCTAATAAGTCCCTTTCACCAATATCTGAGCTTATGTTAATGATGCAACTTTCGGAAAGCCTCTGAGGATGGAGGAGTTGGTTACCAGGGGAACCAATAATATGATTAAAGGGTTGGAACTTTCAACCCTACTCCTTGGAACGAACAATATGATTAAAGGGTTGGAACTTTCAACCCTTCTCCTTGCCCCACAGGAAGGGGAGAGGCTGGAGGCTGAGTCAATCACTAATGGCCAATGATTTAATCAATAATGATTACCTAATGAGGCCTCCATAAAAACTCTGACCAAAGGGGTTCAGAGAGCTCCTGGATGGTGAACCCACTGAGGTGCTGGAGGGCTGTGCACTCGGAGAGGTTAAGGAAGTTCTCCTAAACCTTGCTCTTTGCATCTCTTCCATTTGGCTGCTTCTGGGTTTTATTGTTTATAATAAACTGGTCAACATAAGCATCTTCCTGAGTTCTGTGTGCCATTCTAGCAAATGACCAAATCCGAAGAAGAGGTGGTGGAAATCCCTGAGCTACAGTCAGCTGGGTGGAAGTAGGGGAAGTCAGGACTTTGGATTGCTGTCCAAAGTGAGGACAGTCTTGTGGCGCTGAGCTTCACTAACTTTTAACTTTGGGTAGTTAGTATCAGAATTATGTTGTAGGACACCCGGTTGGTGTCTACAGAGAAGTGGAGAATTGCTTGGTGTGGAAGATCCACACATTTGGTGTCAGAAGTGTTGAGAGTATAGAGATATGATATTTGCCTTCATTAGACTTTATACCTCACCTACTGGAGCACTCACTTTTTTTCATAAATATTTTTAACTAGTCTATGATGCTAAAACTATAATGTATTCTTCAAAATTAATCTTTCCCCATTTTTTTTTTAAATACCTGGCATACTTATTTAGGTGAAGGGTTTTTATGGCTTGCTTTTGCATGAAAAGTTTTTAGAAAATGTAATTCTGCTTCACTTGTTCCACTTTAGTCATTATGCTTTGAGTTTATCTTCTTGCTTTTTAATTTTTGCTGTTGGATATTTTATTTTAGGCATTAATATGGGTATTAAGTGGATTTGTATAGGGACTATATCTCAAAGTAATCCTTATTAACACACACAGAATGTTCTTTCTCTTTCATTCCTTTTTAATAAAAATGAGATTATAGTGTATACTTTTTTATTTTTTGCTACTGGCTTTTTTCTACTCAAATATATGTCTTTCTAGGTCAATATATGTAAATATACCTCATTCTTTTAAAAAATTGCATAATATATTATGGGACTTATAATTTATTCAACTTTTCCCCCTCTAGATATATAGTCATGTTTTATCCTGCTTTTTTCCTGTTTGTAATAAAGTTGCAATAAACATCTTGTGTGTGTGTGTGCACATATTACTGATTATTGCCGGTAAAAATGAAAGCTATTGGCTTACGGATTTTATTCTTGTATACAGTCATCTTACTATATTTCCTTATTAGCTCTATTATTGTTTCTTTGAGTCTTCAGCATTCTCTGGGTATGCAAATATTATAAAATACTGTTACCTCTATTTTGTAAGCGTATATTACTTATTTCAATTTTGTGACATTTTAAAATAAAAGATTTATTTGAGAACCTCTTCTGTTATTCCTGCCCCTACTTTATTTTTGAGGTAGTCAACCCTCAAAATTTAAGAGACCTGCTCAAATATTCCTAAAGTTAGATGGCAGTTTTACTCAATGTTACCAAATATTTAAAGATAATGTTCTTCCTTGGGGTAATTTCAGCTAGCTCTATGAAATTTTTCTATTGCTGAAGTTTTATTCTTCCAGGAAACTGTTTCTTTCACAATTCCATAGTTGCACAAATTGTTCATAATTAGTTAAACTTTTTATAAGTATTAGGTATGATTTTGAAATTAATAAAATGTGATTAAGAAAATTTTCTCAGGTGGACTATTTTGTGCATCTTTCAGTTGTTTTTGCAATTGGCATCCAAATATGCTTTTGGAGAGATTATTTTTAGAAAACAGTGAAACAGTATTCTAAAATTCTTAAGTATAAAGACAGGGCAGAATAAACTCAATTACTCTCAATAATGCAAGAATTGAGACATTCTAACTTAGTTATACATATCATACTATATTAATGTAACCACTCTTCAAAGAATTAGAATATGTAAAATACTCTTTTCAGTATGAGTGATTCCTGAATTATTTTTTAAAAAATGTGTTTCCACATACATGGGAAGAGCTGGTTAAATTTTTTAAAAATTATGTCATAGAGAATTTGGTCTGTATACTAACTTGCTGAGACATGCTTTATGAACATAGTCAAATTTTGTAAGTGGTTTGTGTGCAGTTGAAAAGAATATGAATACCCCATTCGGGGGGTATT